TTTGGCTCTGATTTGTTTCCTGTCTTCTCCTTTTGGTATTGATTAATTCTTTTCTAGGGCTTTGAGATGTAAAGTTTTATTATTTATTCAGTGACTTTCTATTCTTTTAATGAATGAGCTTAATGCAAAGAACTTTCCTATTAGAACTACCTTCATAGTGTCTCAGAGATTTTTATATGTTATATCACTATTCTCACTGACTTCTAAGTATTTTTTATAGTGATACAACATATAAAAATCTCAGAGATTTTTATATGTTGTATCACTATTCTCACTAACTTCTAAGTATTTTTTATTTCATCCTTCATTTCTTCAGCTATCCATTGGGTATTATTTAGTCTCCAAGTGGTAGAGTAGCTTCAGTTTTAAATTTTATTGTTGATTTCTAATTTCATTCCATTATGATGTGATAGAACGTAAGGTATTATTTCTAGTTTTTGTATTTGCTAAGAGTTGCTTTGTGACTTACTATAAAATGGTCTATTTTTGAGAAGGATCCACATGCTACTGAGAAGAAAGTGTATTCAGTCATTGATGTATTAAATATTCTATATATGTCTATTACATCTAAATTATTAATTGTATTTTTCAGTTCTGTAACTTCTTTATTTTTTACTTCGAAGACTTTTCCTTTGGAGGGAGGTGTGTTGAAATCATCCAGTATTATTGTGTTGTGATCTTTTGATTCTTGAGATTGTGAAGGGTTTGATGCACATAGATGCTCCATTGATATAAGGAGTGTGTTTATGTCTTATTGATGTATATTTCCCTTGAGCAGTATGAAATGTCCTTCTTTGTCCCTTCTGGTTAATTTTGACTTGAAGTCCACTATGAGGATAGAAACACCTGGTTGTTTACAAGATCCATGTAAGTGATATGTTTTTCCCCATCCTTTCATCTTCAGTCTGTTCATGTCTTTATCTTTGAGGTGTGTATCTTGGAGACGCATATTGTTGGGTCTGGTTTTTTATTCCAGTCTGCCAGTCTGTGTGTTTTGATTGATGAATTTAGGCCATTTACATTCATTGTTATTGAGAAATGTATTTTGTTCCCTGGCATTTTGATTTATTTCTGGTTTTTAATTTGAATCAGTTTCTCTTTCGATTGACTATTCTTCTAGTGCAATTCCCTGCTTTGCTGGTTTTCATTTTTATTTTTCATTTCATTTTCATGAAATATTTTGGTTGGTATGCTTTTTAGGGCAGAGTTTCTATTTCTGAGTTCTTCTAACTTCGATTTTTTATAGGGTTTTATTTTATCATCATCTCTGAAGCTTAGTTTTTCAGGGTATAATGTTCTTGGTTTTACATCCATTTTCTTTCAGAGCTTGGTGTGTATTATTGTAATACCTCCTATCTTTAAGGGTCTGGGTTGAAAAAATCAGATGCGATCTAAATTGGTTTCCCTTTAAATGTGACCTGTTGTTTTTTTCCTCTGAGAGCCTTTAGAATTCTATCCTTATTCTGTATGTTAGTCATCTTCATAATAATGTGCCTTGGTGTAGGGTCTGTTGTAATTTTGGACATTTGGCATCCTGTATGCCTCCTGCATTTGATTTTTCATTTTATTCTTTAGGTTTGGGAAATTTTCTGATATTGTTTTGTTGAAAATTTTGTCCATTCCTTTGGTTTGTATCTCTGAGCCTTCATCTATCCCAATAAATCTTAAATTTGATCTTTTTATGTTCTATAGTTCTTGGAAGTTCTCTTCATTGCCTCTTAACATCTTTTCTCGATGCTTAACTTTATTTTCAAGATTATATGTTTTATTTTCATTGCTTGAAACTGTGTTCCAATTGGTCCATTCTGCTGGTGATATTTATCAATGAATTTTTTTTAATCAATGAATTTTTGATTTGGTTTATTGATTCCTTTATTTCGAAGATTTCTGATTTTTTTTTTCCTCCTAGAAACTCCGTTTCTTTATTGAAGCGATCTTTGCTTCCAGTATTTTGTTTCTTACATCATCCTTTAACTCAGATTAATTTAAATATGATCATTCTAAAATTCTCTGACATTTCTTACACTGTGGTGTCAGTGGATTCTGTTATCGAAATATTTTCTTTTATTGGAATGATTTGTTCCCTTGCTTTTTCATGTCATTTTGTATGTCTACCCATCTAAGGCAGTTTATATTCTGTGAACTTATAGTGTCCAATACCTCACAGTTTACAACAACCAATGCAAACAATTTACAAAATTAAACCATAAGCTCTTGATATGAAATCTACAGTGTTGATTGTCAGAACAACCAGAAATGATATGATCAATTATTGTCCGTAATGAAAACAGTAAGTTTACAAAATGGTTTATAATTTCACATAGTGAACAGGGATAAAACAGAAGTGATGTAGGATGTGATGAGTATGAGGGAGGAAGAGAGAAAATAGAAGTAAAAAATTGAAGACAGACAGGGCTGGGATTGTGGCTTAGTGGTAGAACGCTTGCCTAGCATGTGTGAGGCACTGGGTTTGATTCTTAGCACCGCATATAAATAAGTAGATAAAATAAAGATCCATCAATAACTAATAAAAATATTTAAAAAATTATGGAAAGAATGAAAGAATAATAGATATTGGCTGTTAGGGGAGGAAAAGAGAAAGAGTTGAAGGAAATGATAAGTATGAGAAAAAAATGTATAAAATAAAAATTAAATAGTAAAAAAATAGAGAAGTAAAAGATTACAAGAATAAAATCAATATATTCTAATCAAACATCTTAGTCTTCAAAATATTGTTCCATGAGAAATAACTACTTTCAAGAAAATGCTAGAAATGAGAAACAATAAAGATATATGAATATGTCTAAGTGTCCAGTTGAAGATAGAGTTCTTTAAGAGGAAAGAAGAAGAGATGGGGTGGTAGATAAGGGTCTGTAGATTCAAGAAGTAAATAGAGCAAATGCAGAGGAGACAATGTTTTTATGAGGTGGGAGAACAAAAAATAGAAGTAAAAGAATTAAAGGCAGAGTGAGAAAGAGCAATAGAATTTGGCTGTTGGCAAGAACAAATAGAAACAAAGGAAAACAGTTGTGAAGGATACATTAAAAAAATCAATCCAAAATATAGTAATTAAAAATCTTAACCTATGAAAAAATATTTGCTTTCAAGAAAAGCTAAAAATGAAAAAGCAGACACAAAAATGTATGAGTTCAAATGCATAAATGTTTATCATGTATCAATCAGTATACATTCAAAAACAATACAATAGAACAAAAACAAAATAACAGAATATCAATGAGAGTATTTGCCTACTGTCTGTGCCAAACTGCCCTTTTGTTTCTCAGCTTCCCTTCATAGCAGGATGGGATGAAGAGCTGTGGAAGATGCTTTTGTCTTTACTTCCAGGGTATTGTTGCCGTTGTGTTCTGTGAGATGAATTTCTGCAAGTGAAGCTCCCAGGGGTGGGGATTAGGTCTGGTAAGCCCTAGGTGTTTTATGGTGTAGGGATATTGTGTGGGGAGTTTTCGGGCATTAGTGAATCAACCACTTCTAGGACTGTACCCCCACTACTTTCTCCAGGGCACCACTCCTGGGAAGAGGGAGTCAGTATTTTGAAGATTCTGATGTTTAGAACAGTGTTCAGGGACACTGCCCTTGTTTGGTCTTTCAATGACTGTTTCCGATCACTGAGCTCAGTCACCCTGCCCGCCTGTTCATTTTCTCTCTGCCACTGGTCCTTTGGTGCTGTGAGGTTGAAGGGGGGAAAGGGAGGACGAGCTTTCTCAGGCCTCTCTAATCTGTATTACTCCCAGGCGAAATGGTCTTTGTGGCTGAAATTCTTTTTTTTTTTTTTTTATATTTACTTTTTTTAGTTGTAGTTGGACACAATACCTTTATTTCATTTATTTATTTTTATGTGGTGCTGAGGCTCGAACCCAGGGTCTTGCACGTTCGAGGCGAGCGCTCTACCACTGAGCCACAAGCCCAGCCTGTGGCAGAAATTCTTAGTGCCAGAAATTCTTCTGCTTTACTAGTCTCAGTTTACATCTTGCTGTTGGTGTCTGCCAGATTCAAGTGTTGGTTTCATCCCTGAACTCAGGGATATAAGTTCCGGGTGGAGTTTGTGCCATTGTCTCACAGAGGTATTAAAATGCTTGGGCTCCCCATGCACTCTGGCAGATTGTGACTTTTGTGCTCTAGCTTAATGGGTCGAACATCTCTGGATCGGGCCAGGGCAGGCTGCCCCACCAATCCTGGGATTTGCTACTCCATGTTTTCCCCAGTACTTTTTGATATTTTGTGACCTTGAGTATTAATTTTCCCCACTCCCACTAATCCACCATCTTGTCTGTCTTGTAATCTTGTTTTTATAGAGAACATTATTTTGTTTACTCTTTGCACTGTTCTCTCTGTTGTTTTTGTGGTTGTTTCCTCCTTGCCACTGTGCCATCTTTTAGAACAAAATCTCATATGCGAAGCTTTGGGTTCTTGTTCTGCAGGCTTATTGGAAACTTCTCTGAATGGGGGTGGTTTGATCCAGGTCATTTTGTTTGGTTCCTTTGATCTTTGCCATTTGCACAGGTTTAACCTTGGGAAATGGTTACAACTTCTCTTTCCTTTTTTAACAGGCAGGAGAATTCTTTTCCAATTCTGACTTCACACAAAGGTCATGGCTTTTGTTCTCATTCTCTGTGTTATGAGTTGATTTTAACCCCTACTGTTAGAATCAATGCCTTAGCTATAAGCAGTAAGATTTAAAAATAGACAAATTGCTTGTTTTTGTCTTTTTTTTTTAACCTCTATAGATATAGGAGGTTATGGAACTGTGGAACTGCTGTGGTTTATTGGAAAGCATATTTGGTCCTAACTGGGTAATCTTAAGTCCCTGGATCCTTATTTTTAGGTGAGGATAATAAATTAGATAGAAGTTTTGAAGCCAAAATGTTATTTATGTGTAAATGGTTTATAAACTGAGAAGTACATTTGTGTATTAGGTTATTTTTATTGTTGTATAATTGCAGTGGTTGTGTTACTAATGTAAGTCTGTTTTTGACTTTCAGGTTGTTCCATTGACCGATAATATTTGGCAACAGTCATCTTATGAAAGTGATATTAGAAAACACATTTCTGATAGTAATGTAGCCTCATCAGAAACAACAGTTCAGTGGGATTCTGGGGATGATCAGGTATGTCTGGGGACGAATTGGCAAACTATTTTTCTTTTGGTTTGTATACAAGAAATTCTGCTATGAAGAAGTGAGAAGAGGTAAGTTACTATTCCAGTTTTCTTTGTAAACTTTATATGGAATAGCAGTTTACTTTTGTTGTGGGGCAGGTCACTCAGAAAACACACCAAGTCCCAATTTTGCCCAAATTGAAGAGTGTATATTTAGCCGGCCAGCCAGCGACTGCTCCCCGCAGGAAGGACCCATTACTGTCTCTGCAAGGAACAGCCCCAAGACTGAGCATTTTAGGATATTTAAAGGCAAAAATTACATCTGGGTTGACGTAGCTGTAAGCAAGCAGGTACAGAAGCTGGATTGGGCAGTTTGCGAGACAATGCAATGGGTACGTTGGTATTTCCTGCAGGACTTTCCAGGTTGGCATAGCAGCAAGCAAACAGAAGGGAACTGGGACAAAATGACCCTAATTCAGTACAAGTTAGAAAATGGTTACTAATGTCTAGACAATCTCTGACAAGGTACATTGCCCAAGAAAAATGGAAAGGAAAGAGAATAATTTTACATTGTATAAGAATTACTATTTTGTGTTGCCAAGTACACTGTGCTAGGTAACTATTAATGGGTACCGAGGTGGGGCTTTCCCATGGAAGAAGCATTTTTTACATGATATGGAGTCTCAGGGTAAAATACAGTCTGTTTGGTCATTGCCCATTTAGCATGGCCCATAACACTTTATTTTTTGTCTTTAGGACCCTTTGCAATCTTCAAGTATTCGAAAGAGCATCTTTTTACATGGGTTATGTATATATTAGCATGAAATAAATTTTAAAAAAATTAAAAAATATATTTAGTTTAGAATTACAAAATGGGGGGGCTGGGGCTATACCTCAGTGGTAGAGTGCCTACCATGCACATGTGAGGCACTGAGTTTGATCCTCAGTACCACCAATAAAAAGAATTATAAAATAGGTTTATAATACTACCAAAAGTGTGTTTTAAAATGAAAAATGACTGTTTCTTAAAAAGAAAGGGAGAATAGCATTGTTTAATATTTTTATAGATTTCTTTAATGTATGGTTTAATTGGAGACTATTGGTGTATTAGGCTTCTTCAGAGAAATAGAAACAATAGGATAGTGATATATATACACATACCACACACACAAATTGGCTTTATTTTAAGGAATTGGCTTATATGATTATGGAGGCTGGGAGAAGTCCCAACATCTGTAAGCTAAAGACCCAGAAAACAGTATATAGTTTCTGTCTTGAGTTCAAAGACCTGATAATCTTTAGGTAAGATTGTGTAAGTTCCAGTCTGAGTCTGAAGGCAGAAGACCAGTGTTTCAGCTTGGAGATGCCAGAACTAATCCTCTTTTGACTTCCTTTTGTTCTTTTTGGTCTTTTACACAATTAGATCAGGTCTACCCACATTGGGGAGGGCAAATGCTTTGTTTAGTCTTCTCATTTAAACACACCCAGAGTAATGTTTAACCAAATATGTGATTACTACCTGATTCACTCATTTTGATAAATAAAATTAACTGTCATAATTATGTTTTTACATGTGCTTTTGCATTTAGTCTGTTGGGATATTTTGTTTTGGTTTAAGTATATGAAGGAAATCTGACCTGCCATATATGGTTAGAAAAGGGTGGCCATCATTGATTGCCGGGAAGCTTGTCAGTGACCACCAGGGATCCTCAGACCATGCTTTGAGAATGAGCTAGAACGTAGTCATAAACTTAGAAGAAATAGAAGAATCAAGAGCAGATGGGGGAAAACTCATGTGTCTTTTGGAAGAAATGTAGCCTTAGTCATATGTTTAAATATTGAAGGTTGATTTTCTAGTAACTTGAGTATTGAGAATTCTTCCAGTATCTCCAACTTCTTCTAAATTGCAGTGAGTACCTATTAAATGTAAGATAGAAAAGGAGAGAGAGGAGTTAAGAGTAAGTCCTGATCAGACTACTCAGGGGCCATTAAATAAAAGGGAATTGTTATGGGTTAAATATTTTGTGTCCCCTTATTGATGTGTTGAAATCCTAATGCCTAGTACCTCAGAATGTGACCTTTTAAGAAGTAAGTTGATTGTAGATGTGCTTATTAAGTTAAGGGGCCACAACGGGGTAGGATAGCCCCTTCATCTAATATCCTGGGATCATTGTAAGAGAATGCCATGAGAAGAGAAAAACACACAGGGAGAGGACAGCCATGTGAAGCTGGAGGCAGAGATTGCAGTTATGCTTCTAGAAGCCAAGGAATGCCAGGGCTTTGCAAATTAAAAAGGAATTCCCCTAGAAGGTTCAGAGAGGCAACACCGTGATTTCAGACTTTTGGCTTTGGAAACAAGAGTAAATTTTTGCTGTTTTAAGTCACCTATTTTTTTTTTTTTCATTTTTTATGGTAGCCTTAGGAGACTAATACAGTTTATATTCCTAAATAGATTGATATTCCCTGAGAACATGTGTATCAGTCTATTTTGTGTTACTGTAACAAAATACCTGAGGCTGAGCATTTTATAAACAAAACAAGGTTTATTTACCATACAAAATTGTAGCAGTTCAAGAGCATGGTACTGACATATGCTTAGCTCTGGTTAGGGCCTTATGGTAGATGGCTTCACAGTGGTGGGAATGTGTACAGAAGAGATCAGATAGTCAGAAAGGCCAACAGAGGGTAGGAACCAGTCTTGCTCTCATAACAGCTTGTCATGAGAACTATCTTTTTTTTTTTAGAATTTAAACTTTATTTTATTTATTTGTTTTTATGTGGCGCTGAGGATCAAACCCAGTGCCCCCTCTGCACTAGGCAAGTGCTCTATCACTGAACCACAACCCCAGCCCAAGAACTAGCTATTTTTAATAACTTACTTTCATGAGAAGAAACTCACTCTGTGATATTAGCTTTAATCTCTTCTGAGGACAAGTGTCTGTAATGATCTAATTACTTTGCATTAGGACCACCTTTTAAAGGTTCCTCTTAATACTACCACATTGGGGACCAAGCTTCTAACACCTGAACTCTTAGAGGAAAACCATGTCCAAACCATAGTAGAATGTTTATGGTAGAGCACGGTTTAAAAATTGATGCCTTCTTTTTTTCTTGATTTATAGAATATGAACCCTGATGAAACTTAAAGCATTTCAATTTTGCTTTTATGCCTCTGTTCATTAGAATAGCCAAATATTATTCTACTTTCTCTTTTTCTTCTTTTTTTCCTTCTGATTATTCTGTGCATTATTTATCCTTGATGCCATCATGTGAATTACCTCTCTCTATTCATTGGAAACTATAGCTCTTGCTACGTTGTCTTACTCTCTTAGTTTTTTTTTACTTCAACGTACATTACCCATTTAGTTTGAATGTGTCTCCCAAAGTGCATGTATGAGAAACTTAATCCACAGTGCAATAGTTTTGAGAGGTGGGAATTTCAGGACCTGATTTGGTCAAGAAGGCTTGAGTCTCATGAAAGGATTAAGGTCCATTATCTTGAGGGTAGTTTTGTTGTAAAACCAAAGCAATTTCAGCCCTTTCTCCCCTCTCCCTCCCCTCCCCCTCCCCCTCCTCCTCCATTTAAATTCTACATAACAGTACAATCCATTTTGATATAATTATACAAGCATGGAATATATCTTATTCTATATCAGACCCCAGTACCTCTCTTTCCCCTTGCCTCAGAGGTACTGGGGTCTCCCTTCCCTCTATTGATCTTCTGCCTTTTATCCATAGTGATTTTTTTAAAAATTAATTTTTTGTGGATGTACACAATGAGATTCACTGTGGTGTATTCATATATGTACATAGGAAAGTTGTGTCAGGTTTGTTCCTTTTCCTATCCCCTTCATTCCGCTTTGTCTAATCTACTGAATATTGATTCTTCACCCCCATCCCTCTTATTGTGTGTTAGCTTTCAAATATTAGCAAAAACATTTGACCTTTGGTTTTTGGGGACTGGCTTATTTTATTTAGCATATAGTCTCCAGATCCATCCATTTACTGGCAAATGTCATAAAGCCATTCTTCTTTATAGCTGAATTAATACTCCATTGTGTGTATATATACCACATTTTCTTTATCCATTCATCTGTTGAAGGGCATCTACGTTGGCTCTATTGCTTAGCTATTCCGACTTGAGCTGCTTTAAATATCACTGTAGTATGCTAATTTTAAATCTTTTGGATATTAACTGAGGAGTGGCATAGCTGGGTCAAATGGTGGTTCCATTCCTAGTTTTTTGAGGAATCTCCACATTACTTTCCAGAGTGGATGCACCTATTTGCAGTCCTACCAGCAATGTATGAATATACCCTTTTTCTTGCAAACACTTATTGTTGCTTTTATTCTTAATAACTGCCATTCTGATTGGAGTGAGATGAAATCTCAGTGTAGTTTTAATTTGTATTTCTCTAATTGCTAGAGATGTTGAACATTTTTTCATATATTTGTTGACCATTTGTATTTCTTCTTTTGAGAAGTGTCTGTTTAATTCCTTTGCCCATTTATTGATTGGGTGATTTTTTTTTTTTTTTTTTTTTTTTTTGGTGTGTGTTAAGCTTTTTGAGTTCTTTATATACCCCGGAAATTAGCGCTGTATCTGAGGTGCAGGTGGCAAAGATTTTTTTCCCATTCTGTAGGCTCTCTCTTCATGCTCTTGTTTGTTTTCTTTGGTGGGAAGAAGCTTTTTAGTTAGATGCCATCCCATTGATTGATATTTGATTTTACCTCTTTCACTTTAGGAGTCTTGTTAAGGAAGTTAGTTCCTGAGCCAATATGCTGGAGTATTGGCCTACATTTTCTTCCAGTGTGTGCAGGATTTCTGATCTATTCATAGGTTTTTTTATCCAAGTTGAGTTTTGTGCAGGGTGAGATATTCTACTACATATAGATTTCCAGTTTTCTCAGCACCATTTGTTGAAGCTAACACACAATAAGGGGGCCAGGAGTGAAGAATCAATATTTGGTAGATTAGACAAAGGGGAATGAAGGGAGAAGAAGGGGATA